CACTACACAGGGAACGATAGTAGACAGTGGTAAAGGTGTGTTCACTACACAGGGAACGATAGTAGACAGTGGTAAAGGTGTGTTCACTACACAGGGAACGATAGTAGACAGTGGTAAAGGTGTGTTCACTATCTCACTAGCGCTGGGTTAGATTAAGGGTGTGTTCACAGTCTAGCTAGGACTGGGTTACACAGGGTCTCAGTCTATCCTGGGTTAGAGATGTCCACCACTTAAGCTGTTGATGTTCCTTGTTTTCCTGTTTTTTTTTTCCACCTGAATCTGTTGTAGCCAGGAGGTGGGTTTTATTGGGATTCCCTATTTTAACTGGATTTTTTACCATTTGTAATTTGTACGTGAGGTCCCATGTTTTATCCTTTGTGAGAAGAAACTTTCTCGCGAGAAGTGGCTGCGTGGGTCGTCGGAAGCTCTCTGGCTGAGCTCACTCAAAACTTGACACACTGACTCGTGGAACATTTTGTGTCTTTGCTCAACTCTGGGTGTGGTCAGCGTTTTTTATGTCGAAGGTGTCAAAAGTTTGAGAGAACAGAAGAAGTTTGTTGACGAGTTTGGAACAAGAATTGGGCGGTCGGCTCACGGCAGCCCACATGGAATGGAGATTTCTGAGTGTGTGACGCAGTACGTGTAAGTCGGTACCGGTAAGTCAAGAGTTGACCTATATATAGAACAAAGGATGACATTTTGTCGGGGCCCGCAGCCAACTTCCGTTATTTTCACCATTTTTTTCTCCAGTTCCCAATACATGCTACATGTGTCTGCCCGAGCGAGAAATATGTGCCGCCGGCTTTTTTAAATGTTAATAAACTTATGTCTGTGGTTGATGTAGTTTGTGCTGACTCGGCACTCTGTAGTTGTCTGTCGCTGTCGTGTTGAGATGTGTGGGTTTTGCTGTTTGCTTCCTACCTGGCAGAATAGCTTTGTGGTAGATGTGTTCACACGTGTTCTTGGAATAAACAGTCGGAGCTTGACACGCTCGGGGTTTGGCCTTAGTTCATGACTTAATCATGTCTGTTTGTCAGTCTGTCTGTCTGTGTGGGTGGTTGGCGGGTGCTCTGGTGTGGTTTGCTTCTTCTTTCCTGTCACGAGTCTTTTTAAAATTTTTAATAAGTGTTTTATGGCACTTGCAACACAATGAGGTCATATAAGTGCCGAAGATTAGAGGTGTTACAAGAGAGTAACATACACAAAAAAGAAAGAGGGGAGACAAAGACGATAGATGATTGATAGGAACGAAGAAACAAACCACACCAGAGCACCGGCCAGCCACCCACAAACATCTATCGTCCTTATCTCCCCTCCGTCTTTTTTTGTGTTTGTTACTCTCTTGTAACTCCTCTAATCTTCGGCAATCAATGACCTTATTGTGTTGCAAGTGCCGTAAAACTAACTGTCTGTCTGTCTGAAGGGTGCTACTAGAACTAGCACATCTTGTTTTTTGTCCTTCTCTCTATCATTTTCCTGTCTGCCTGTCTGTCTGTCTGTCTGTCTGTGCTTATCTCAGTAAACTTGGGATAAGAAAAAGATTGGTACACTTCACACACACACACACACACCACACACACACACACACACGCACACACACGCACACACGCTTATTCGACTAGTGGTAGTCTGGGACTGGGAGAGACTAGAGACAATTAATATACTGTGGCCAGTCTTGCCTCATCCATGTCTGTCTAGCGGTCAACTATTGCTTGGGGCTGGTCAGTTCTCCCTGAGATTGGTCTTTGTCCAGGGGCGTTACGTGGCGCAGTGACGACACAGGACGCTGTCTCTTCTGGAGATGACCGCGGTGGGTGTGTCGGTGTCGGTGTTGTCTCTGTGGTGTGCTCGGGAGCCTACCACTTCTAGTGGGTGTGTCAGTGTCGGTGTTGTCTCTGTGGTGTGTGTCGGTGTCGGTGTTGTCTCTGTGGTGTGTGTCGGTGTCGGTGTTGTCTCTGTGGTGTGTGTCGGTGTCAGTGTTGTCTCTGTGGTGTGTGTCGGTGTCAGTGTTGTCTGTGGTGTGTGTCGGTGTCCTTG